ACAAAGGGCTCTGAGGCAAAAACCTAGAAGTCAGTCGAGCTGGTGGAGGGGACAAAAAACTTTCAGTTTCAAAGGCTGGCTTCAAGCCAGGCATTGAACCTTGTAGACATTTGAAAGGTTCATAGTGACGAAATGCGACACACATTGTGGCATTGTCATGTGACATTGGAAAGAACCATGTGCTGGAAGCAGTGCTGAAAATTAACGCACATGAAAATCTTCCAACAAAAGTGAACATATGCAAAAAGAAACCTTGCATTTGCACAGTGCCAATGTGTTTGTCACATTCTTTTTTTCAATCACCAAAGAAGGTGTTGGAATATCAAGTGATCCTTAAAACTCAAATGAAACTCTCATTAAACATCGCAATGTGAATCTTCCAAGTGAATCTGGATTTAATTCTTTACCTCCATAGACTTTGCGCATTTTTGGTGAATGCTTTATCTCAACCTTTTTTGGAACCTTCCTTCCAAGACAAAAGCCTGGGCTTTCCAAACCCAGGGAGTAAATCAATAGATTGTTCATCAAAAGCTGTTGCAAGTCTAAGAAAACCACCTGAAAGAAAGATGAAACTGCACATAAATGCAACAAAAATGTTACAAAGCAAATACAAAAATACAAAATTCAGAATGAAAATCATCAAAACATACCTAAAATCAGTGAACTGTAGTGTAGGTTTGGTGTAAGTTTGATGTAAACTTACACTGAAACTTACACTCCATAGTGTAAGTTTAGTGTAAGTTTGGTGCAAACTTACATCAAACTTACACATCAACAGTGTAACTTTACACAAAAGTTACATTCCTGAGTGTAAGTTTACATCAAACTTACACTTCACAGTGTAAGTTTACACTTCTGTGTGTAACTTTGATGTAAACTTACACTCCAGGTGTGTAAGTTTCAGTGTAAGTTTGCACCAAACCTACACTAAACTTACACTATGGAGTGTAAGTTTTAGTGTAAGTTTACATCAAACTTACACCAAACTTACACTCCAGTTCATTGATTTTAGGTGTGTTTTGATGACTATCATTGTGAATTTTGTATTTTTGTTTTTGATTTGTAACATTTTTGTTGCATTTATGTGCAGTTTCATCGTTCTTTGACTTATCTGCACTCTTCCAGTCAACTCTCTTGCAAGACTTGGAGGGCCCCAACACAGCCAACAAATCTTTCGCGGGCTGTGTCTTCAAGAAGTTGACAAAGACTGCTTGCAGCTCTCGGACCCCAACATTGGGATCAGCCACCAGTCTTTGCTGAGACACCTTGGGCCACAACACACTGGGTCAAACACATTGGAGGTGTGAAGGTCTTGCGCACATGTGTGAACTTGCCTTTTCCGAAGTGAACAGCATCATTGCTGATGAACTACAGTGGTTCATTTACTATGAATCTTTTTGGGTGTGATTCTGTCTTTGTCGAATGAAAGCCTTGGCTGAACCTTTGAAGTGAATCTTTACTCTGATTCTTTTGTGGAATGAACCTGCCTTTGTTCTGAGTGAAAGGCTAAGGTGAATCTTTTTCTGACTGAAGCACCTCTGGCTCTGATTTTGTTTTAAAGTGAATCTGTGTGCTCCCACCCACAGTCTAAGGTGAATCAAGGTGAATCCTGTATCCAGATCTTTTTTGAGAAGTGAACCTGGCTGCTCTGAGTAAAAGCACGAGGTGAATATTTAAGGTGAATATGTTATTCTGGTCAACTTGTTGAGGTGAATTTGTGTTTGTGTGTCAGGAAAATCATAAGTGAATCTTTTAGGGTGATACCTTATGTGAAGAGTGTCTTGCTTTTGGCAAGAGCATTTTGAACAAAATAGAATCAAAAATCATTTGAAGAAAACACAAACCTTTTAGGTTAATCAATTGAACCACCTTACATTTTTAGTTTATTTGACCTTTCAAACTATTAGTTAAAACCATTGTTCTGACTAATAGTTTAATCATCTGTTTTAACTAATAGTTAAGAAACAGTATATAGACTAATAGTTTTAAATCTGCCTAACCGAAGCTATTGGGTAGCTACTTGATATTCACAGAGGAATCGGGCCAAACTAACCAAAGATTGTCTTTCCCATCATTGAAGGATCTTGCTTCGAAGTTCTGCACTTTTATGCTCATACTCAAATTGGACCATCGGCACCACAGGTGGGGCTAATCCAGATGTGTTCTGGATGATCACGAGCAAGGTGACAGAATAAATTCCGTCGTCCTTCTCGGGTGCTCAAATCACCTTCAGCAAAACAAAAAACACGTTTGACTGTCAGGCCCTGCTGCACGCCTTGCCGAGTAAGCTCACTGTCTTTCGAACACAATACCTCAAACATGAATGTCTGGCTTGTCTTTGGTTGAATGAGGTTGGCAATTTGTTGAAACTCTTGACGGTAGGCCTGAATTATTTGACTACACTTGTGTGCGTATGCCTGCGAATCAAAACCAAGAGCGGCCTTTTCAAGGAGACAGTTGATCGCACTCTCAAGACACACTTGCTCGATCAGGCGGTGATTCACTTCGGCTTCCTTTACCATCCATGGAGTTGCTGGAGAGGCCCTTGACTGGGAATGCTTCGTTCAGATGAAGGTCACAAATCTGAAGAACTTCAGACGCTCGCCGTTCTGACTGTGCTCGTAGTGGCTCACGAGCCACTTGGTCAGTCCAGCTTTGATCTTGGAATGCCTCTTCGTAAGTCAAACCCAGATTGGCCTTCCCGAAGGCAATGGGCATCTTCTGGAGGTCGGCTAGGGTGAGCTGCTCGATTTCCTGAGGTTCGTCTCGTGCATTCTCCTTCAGATGTTCTCCTGGAATGCGCGAAGTATGAGCTTCTAAGCGGTTCACGGCTTGAGAGCTGGAGTGCTTCGGGCTCTCTGCGCACTCTGGCGGAATTCGATCATCGGTTGTTTCACTTGCGAGACGGTTGGTCTTAAGGTTGACTCTGGACACAAACTGCTATCGAAACGATGTTCCGTTTCCCGTTTGGTCGTTTCGTCGGCTGGCATCAGCTTTTGGCAGACCCCGGAGGTGTCTGGAATCGAAAGACTCGATTCTGACTCCTGTACCTGCACCATGTCTTCGACATGCGAAACGTCCTGTTGCCATAGCTGCTTGATGTCCAGTAACATCAAATTTGATGGTGAATTCGTTGTGTCTAGATAGGTTCCTTAATACTTGCTCCACAGCGTTGACTGTTCGCTTTCAATCACGGCTTGAACAGTCCTCAAAAATGCACTAGGAGGATTGGTGTCTGGCCAGGCACGATCGCAATCCAAAACCATGTTTTGTGCACTGGGAGAATGAGGGCCACTCGGCTGGTCAGCGTCTGACGATTGCCGAAACGGAAAACTATAAGTTGCAGTCGATCTTTTCACATGTGATCGGATCTCATTTGGGGAGGTTGTTCAACAACTCTGGTACTTGCTTATTATCCCCAATGACCGTTTGTGAGGCGCCCAAATCAACAACTCCAATGGTTCCTGAAGAAGCAAAACAAATGTTTTCTTCCTGTGCTGACCATTCCGTGACCAGCGCGATGGCGTTTGCGCGAAATTTCCGGCGGTTCTCAAGAGCTTGCGCGACGGACTTCTTCCTTAGTCCGACGAGCTGGCCGAGACGGGTTTTTAAAAACGGCAAAGCGTTGTTCGGTTTGGCTTGAGATTCTGCACTGGCCGTCGGAATCGCATTGAGGCAGGAGGCCAAGTCAAACACGAATGAGGTGGAGATTTGATTGGCGTCTGAACTTGCGGGTCGGGCGCGGCGCTCAGCTTTCCAATGGCCGATTTGGCCACACAAGCGACAGGTTGAAGAAGCAATCCTTTGAGCCAATCCCTTTGACTTTCCTTTGAAGCCTTTGCCTCGACCCTTTCTTCCCCTTTTGAAACTCTTCGGTGGCAAAAAACCTCGAGACCTGGTTTTCTCAAGGAGCCTTCTCCGAGCATCTTGGTAACTGGCATAGAAGGTGGCGAGCTCTTGGTCTTCCTGCACGGTGTCCATGAGGGCGTTCATCCATGTCCCAGGTTCCTTCATCTGCATGGTCGTCCAGCTCTTCCACCCCGAAAGCAAGGTGGTCATAGGTCTTGAGGGACTTGTCACGTTTCCCGGACGTGTACATCTTCTTCACGAGGAGCTCCGTCCATGCGACTTCGGATCGCGCCAAGTAGGAGTCGGCGCTCTCATCCGGTTTCTCCCTGCAGCGAAACAAAGCTTTCTCCACTATGTCGAACTTCTGCTCAAGGCTAACCTGGCCAAATTGGCCGCCAACAATCTCAACAATTTGGGAAATGCTCTCAACTGTTCCAGCCAAAAGGTTTTTCTTCCTCAACTGCATCTTGGCGAACGCCGATCCCTTGCAGTTGAAGATAACTCGCAGATCCCTTGCAGTTGAAGATAATGCGAGTTGCCCGTTCGCTCAACTTGCTCTCTGGCCACACTGTGGTAAGCAGCTCAATCTTCTGCGCCCATTGTTCAACGTTGTCTGTTGATGGGTCGAACGTAGGGACCACCGACGATAGCTGACTGTTGGTCGAGGTTCCTATGTCCAAAGTTGTAGATCCTGCTCTCGGTGGGAGGCATGCCAACAACAAATGAAGAGCTTCTCGAACCACACTGGTTCTCGATGTTGGTAACGGAAACTTGCGGAAAAGGGCTTGCGCAATAAGAAAGCAATGCACCAAAAGCAAATTCCCAAGGATAGTTTGTGAAGTCCTACTTCATTCCAAGATTTCCCTCAGAGCCCTGCTCTGACACCAACCGCTGCCTTTTCCTCCTGCTCTGCAGGTAGGCTCGAGAGATTCGGGTCTCTTTCTCTCTCTGTGTGATGGCTGAAAGCGAACCACCCTTCCCACCCACGCTTGAGAAAAAACATTGGGTAGGAACATGTGACATGGTTTCCTCAAGAGCACCTGCAAGTTCGACAATTATACAATAATATATATATAATGTTGATGCCTCACACTTCAGGGGCTGAGCTTTTCAAGGATACGAGACTTTGCTTTCATACAAGCAACGCCAAGGAGTGTACGATGATCGACACTTCAAGTGTTTGCATATTTGTGGTCCCAAGATTGCAGCGTGTATGCAGTCCACTTGCTGGAAGCTAAGAGGCGTTGTCGACGGAGGAGATGTTTAAGTTCAGAGGGCCTCATCCAGTTCAAATCGCGCATGGCCTGGCTGGTATTTGTTGCAGTCCGTCTCCTGACACTTTGAGGTCCAAATGCAGTCCCGGAATCGGAATTGCAGAAGTCCTGCATGGAGTCTTGCTGCAGCCTTAGAGCTTGGATGTCCTCGGTATAGAGTGAGTTTGAATTTCGGGAAAGAACATGCAAAACTGTGCGTCACAAAGTTATTTTATGAGATTCACATCGTGCGTTGGATATTGGGAGCTGTGAGGTAGGAAAAATGTTGGAGGTGATCAAGGGGTCGGCGAAAGTTGTTGTTTCAAGCGGGCAGTTGCGTCGCAAGCTCTACTGGTTATTTTTAGGCGTGCAGGTAGGTGACAGACCAGTCAATGACATTATTCTGACATTGCTGGCCTGTGGTGGTGCGTCAAAAAAGTACTTAGCATCGCTTAGACGCGCCATGTTCAATTTTTGCTGGGATGGAGCTCCGACAGGTTGATAAAGAAAAAAATTTGCGGCGAAAGGCGTTGAAGGTATTTGCTTCCAAATTCCCTTCACGTTGGCATGCTGGGTTGGAGACCCTGAGCCATTGCAAGTTCGGGGGCTAGTCAAAAACGTGAGCAACAACTATACATATGAAAAAACATTGTAAAAGGATATTTGGCATCTTCTTCTATGCGAGAATGAACAGCACCAAATTTTGTCTTGCTACCTTAAAAGTTGTAGATAAAGCAACACAAACGAAAAGCAGAAAGTGAGACCAGAAGGAACTCAGTAATGGAGGCCCGAACCGTGCCTTTTCTATCCGGTTGCTTGATTGGTCTCAAGAGGCGCCTCTGGGCCGCATACAGTTGTACGACTTCCAAGAGGTTTCTCGATAACAACTGCACAATTTCGAAGCAGCTTCTTGATGCCACCAAGCTGCGGGTAAGGTAATTTGTAAGTTATATAAGGCTAACCAACGTCATGAAATGCGAATGGCACAAGCAGAGAGAAGATTTAAAAAACATATACTGTATATTTGTTTTTTTGTGGACAGGATGCGACTTGACCTCTGGCCACATATCAAGATAACTTGCAAAACGCAGAGCAAAAGGCTGTTGTCATGTTGTGCACCATGGCTCAAACTCAAACTGTTCAAGCCGCCGCAGATGCCGAACGTCCACCCCAATGCCCTGCTGCAAAGCAGAACGGCAAATTCCCAAAGCTCGTCGTAGTCACTTCCGGATTCAAGTTCTCAAACATCTATGTCAAAATAGTCAGGCACACACAGTTATCCTTCAATCATCATGTGCAGGGAAGACATGCCGTACTATGTATTCTTTTCTTGTCCATCTTCTAGCTCTGAACCCGTTGATCAAAATTTTCCTAGACAGTGTAGACGAAGACAGGGAGCAACTGATGCCCCAAAGCTTAATGGAAAGCGATCAAAGGTATTTCTCTTGATGGAATTCTGACATGTCTAACTTAGTTTGCTTTTAAATCTTTCAATGCCTCGGCTGGAGCGAGTTCATCTTGCTCGTCATTCTCACCCTGGGCTTGGTAGCGTTCGGATTCTGTTTCCTTCCGGTTTCTTGTCTCGCCATGTGTGGGGCTTTGACTGCTCTTCATCGCTGGTCAACTGGTGGGCTCTGCGCGTGGATCCCTGGGCTTGCTGTTCTGGACATACTCCTTGACACGGATTTGACCAAACAAGCTGAAGCTATCCTCGGCACATCTCTCGCTGCCGGCGCCGCAACTAGCTGGCACAAAACATTCGTAGTCTTCCAAAACCTGCTCAAAACATTGCATGGCCATTCACTGTGCTCACAATGGTAATAACGCTGCCTTTGCCCCATGCCAAATAACACCAGCGGTTCTGGAGATGGAACAATTCAATAGTATGTCGGCTTGAGTTATATAAAGCAAAACGTACCCCTTCTCATGACCTTCGAACCGTATCTGAAGTATGGCCGGTCTTTGGTCTTGTCAGGACAGTCGCGCTCATGTCAGGCTGCACCTCGAACCAGCTGCGGACTCACCTCCACGCCACCAATGAGGAAGTATGTAAACTCCGGGTCTTGAGTCCGTTTGTCATGGTCATTGTGTGATAGAATTGGCAATACATCCCTGGGTGAGTTGACGAAAGCTTGTTCAAAAACGAAAAACCCTTGGCAAAGAATGAAAGCACTGACGAGCGGGCGAAAAACTTCGACCTTTGCCCTGCATGAACGCCTTAGTTCGACGCTGGCTGCTGTGTGGGGGGTCCGGAAAAGTTGGTGCGCGCGCAAGCAAATGAGCAGTTCACGCACAAGGCTAACTCCGGGAGGTTGGGTGGCGGTTTCGGGACAGGGGCAGGTGTTCTGGACAAATTCTGGCGCCAACAGATGAAATCCTATCTCATTTCTTCCCGACTGCACTTGGAAAAGGTAGCAATCCAATCTCAGCTAGCAGCTAGCTCCAAAAACCGCAGCCGTCATTGGGCATACATGTGAACTTGTGTCAGGACATGTGCACATGCCGCGAAGGCTTGAAACTCTATGGAGAAAAGGGACGGTCCGCTGATCGTCATTGGATTTTCATGGTGGCGGATCCAACCCGGAATGCCCGATAAAGATACTCCGAGAGAAAAGAGCGATCCAGGGAAAGAAAGAGAAAGCAAAATAAAGGAAAGGAAAGGGGAAGAAAGACGGATGTATCCCGAAGCTGTGAGAGCTTTGGTGGCCAGTCGGCGGAAATGGCCCAGGAGACTCTGAAGTTGCTGACAGAAATTACAGAGCAAGGAGAAGAAGGTCAGCAGCTCTGAGACAGCATTTGCAGCTGCAAATGACTGATGCTGCAACCTGCAAAGAAGCCAGAGAGAAGGTCCTTGCCTACGAGGGGACTACAACTTCATGGCTTCATGGGGATCCCAAGCCAGCTATGGAGAGCGTGCCATCACCAAGGACTCCTGACCATGACAAGGATGAAGCGATCCCCATCCTTTTGTTCTCTTGCCGTTTTCTGGCTGCGCTCGCACACCCTGTGTCCGCGCTGCTTTCCATTTCTCCATTGCCTTGTCCGGGTATGTTTTCGTGCGGCTATGAGTGCAACACAATGATGTAGCGCTTGATATTCTCATGACATATATCCGACTGTTTGGGGTCTATGCTGGCATAGTTCCCCACCTGGCAGGTGAGCATTGTTAGATTTTATCAGAGCTCTTCTCCTCCCCTCCTCTCCTCCCCTCCTCCACCTCAACTGCAAGTGCCAGATCGGTGTGGGCACTGCCGGACCCCAACTGCAAGTGCCAGACCGCAGCGCGCGCTGCCGGACCTCAACTGCAAGTGCCAGATCGCAGTGGGCACTACCGGGCCTCAACAGCAAGTACCAGATGGCTTGGGCTTTACTTGTGTCATTTACAGTTTAATTAAGACACTTGTAGGACTTAAGCACTTTGTAAGTACTACTTAGAGAACTTACGTTTATTAGGTTTCTAATTATATCATAGTCGTAAGTTGTATACATGACTTGTAACTAGCTTATAAGTTCTGTAAGTTCCTGAACGATCAAAAGTATTGTCTCAATCAAGCTGATCAAGATCAAGTTCATCTTCAAAAACAAAACATGTTTTTGCCGCTATTGCATGCCTGAGGCGGATCAATGAGCCGCCAAAATTAAGGAATGTCTGGCACCAATCACACATATATATATATAGAGAGAGAGAGAGTCTGGCGGCTCAATGAGCCGCCAAAGGGGTCATTGACACCACGGAAACACGCGGAAGTCATATACATTTTGCGCCAATGCAGCATTCAGCGGCCCAATGGGCCGCTATGTAGGTTCTACAACATAGTGGCCACACAAACAATATTTTTAACCTGTTTTCTCACTTTGCGAAAGGCGGCGCCATGTTCAGCAAAACAGGCAGCTGAGGCAACACGCGTGAGGAGAAAACACTTGGAGCCAGCAGTTGCGAAACAAACAATATTATTTCACTATCAACCAAGCTCACAATCAGCAAAGCTTAAATCCTGATTCCAAGATTTTCCCGAAATTGTAGCGAAGGGTTCTGGGGGTCTGGGGGTAGGGCCTTGTTCGCGACTCGTTCCCAACCGTCCGCAACCGTGCGCAACCGTCCGCAGGTGCAGCGCTATGGCGCTGACGTTGGGCAAAGCTTTTGGAGAGGGGTTTGGATGGAAGCATGACGCGTCAGATTCGTGTGAAATAGTGAGAAGACGTGTGGAAACGTGAGATGCTGAAGTGTGGAGGATGAAATCACTGCGCAGGCGCAGCGTTTTGTGAGATCCGCAGCTTTTCTGCGCAGTCACATTGGAATTGGCGTTTGGAGAGTGGTGTTTTTGTGGTGTTGGATGTGCGTTTCAGGCTGTTGCTTCCAAGCTGAATTTTCGTGACAAGTCTCAGCTAAAATGACGGTTTTGGTGGACGGGAGTCTGCTCAGGACGTGTCGAAAGCATTCCAAACGCGTGGCGCGGTGCAAATTTTGTTGAAGCTAATATGATCTGATATGGTCACTTTTCGTGGCAGGCGCTTTGAGGTGTGGAAGTGCAATTTTCGTGGCAGACAGGTCTTAGTTTTTTTCTAATGTCAAAGTTGAAGAGTGCCAGATGTTCCGGGTACAACTCAGGCAGCGTCCGCACTGGACGGAGACACTGTCGCTACATCAAGTTCAGAGATGATTCCGCCTGATGAAGCTGGGGCTCTGTCCGATACACCAAGTGAAGAAATTATCTCCGGCCTGACCAGAAGGCGCAGTTTGGTATCAGCAGAAGATACATCCGCCCTATAGTGGATGATGAGGCTGCTGCCGCAGCCCTCTGCAGCAGATTCACAACCAATGGATGTGATTGCTCTTGAAGAGAATGCTCCCCCAAAGAGCCTGCTGACGCCACTGCCGCCCTAGCGGCTGAGAAGGCGCAGGACGCTGCATTTCAAGACGGACAGCAGCATGTGTCTAGCACGGCAGGCAGGATGTTAGGGAGCAGAAAAAG